GTGATATAAACGTTACATAGTCGTTTTACACCTTTAATTTTGAGTGCCTCGGAACAAGAATAAAACATGAATTTTGCATACGCATATGCAAAGAGAGCTACGAATACAGATCAAATTAATTATATTTATATAAAAATAGATAGGTCACAGCGATAGGCTACATCGACTAGATTTTGTGCAACCTCGCTTTGTCTAATACAACACGCACTCAATACATTAGAAAATTAATGCGTGCACAGATATATCGCATACCGCATCTTAGGCGCAGTCGTAAGCCGTAGTCGGGAACCAGTACCCACACCCTGGCAATTGTGACTCCCTCCATTTGCATCTATACCACCATTAGCGGGGTGTTTACCTTTGTCTCCGTGTGGGCTATCTGAAGTCGCACTAGTACTTGTAGTATGATCGCGATTACTGTGCTTCTCCTCATAGTTGTTATGGATACTAAAGCCTTTATTCATGTACGTTCGAAACCAGCGCAGCACTACATCCTTCATTATTTACTATTAATCTTCGTATGTGTATATGCAAATTGATGCATATACACATACATATACATATACAGGTACACGTTGAGATATCAAGATTGCATATCTGAAGCTGTTGGCCTCTAGATTATGATCGACTGTATTTTACACAGATTTTACGGTTCAGTGTCCATTACAGAGCCCTTTTAGTACGGTGTTGTGATGCGATACTCCTGAACATTAACCCTCGTCTCCGCTAGATACTTAGCTTACAGTTATGGATATAAATATAATATAAGCTCGCGATAAGAGTCACAGGTAAGAGTCACAGGCTCACTGCTCACCTGACCGAGGAACACCTACAAATAAACGTAAAAGTGCTTATTTATTATTTTAAAATATTAATATGCCAATTTTTCGCCATATTTATTATCGAAAAAGATGTGTTCCTCGGTCAGCTGCTCACAGCTTCAATTTGACTACTGCAATATAGTACAATAAATAAAAAGATCTGTAGGGTTTCAGGTTTTTTGGGGCCTCGTAAAATATAATAAAAGTATGTTAAAAAAATATGTATGTACAGTCAGTGACTCTCAGGGACACACACGTCTATATAAGTATGTTTGTTTTTGGACCAATAAAACATCAGAACATCTATGCGTCATAGCTTTTTTTTGGGGTTTTTTCTCGTCTCTTGTTGTCCATTGTCCGTGGACTGCGCCTTTATAGCGACATATTTAAAATTTAAAAAATATATTGCTGTTTATATATTTTCAATTTTGAGGAACTCCGTAAATATGTATGTGGAATTCCGAATTTATTTACCGAATAAATAAATCTTTACCACAAACAGTAAACAAACAAACAAACACGGGAGTGGATGAAGATTGTAGGGTAGTGGTTTATATACGTACACGCATACTAGTAAGTGCGAGACCTAAAACACGACAAAAACCACAATTACAATCAATACATTCGCCCTGTAGATAACTAGAAACCGGGGCATCACAATGAGCGGTGAAGCGAAAAACATGTACAATGAGTATCCAGAGTACAACCTAACCGATCTCCGTACTCCTGTACTGAGTGGGCTACCGTTGAGGCTGATGGTGTCAGCTGTGAATTCGCTGGGACCTCTGGCTAAGAAGATATTGGAAGACTCCAACGGGTTCTGTTTGCGAGATTTGGTATGGAGTGTGCATCGTATTTTAAAGAAGAAGAAAACGTGTTTCATTGTGGCGCAATGTTTAACTCTGGTACTAGTTGCGTATAGTGGTACACTGTACACCACCTTCACTCTGACTATACCGGGACACCCAAGGGCCTAGTGTCTTAGAGGCGTGGTATCAAGCGTGTGATGCTTTTGTTTTGAAAATATTACATCCTAGTCAATAATACGAGCAGGTGCATTCTTACGTACTTGGGTTCCCTTGTTGCACTTAGTACACGTCCATATAAAGTTATATATATATATATATATATATATATATGAAATTCGTATGGTGAATATAATACATGTACTCATGTGTTTCTTGTATAGATCTTATACATGCACACATTTTCATATGCATAGCCATATATATATATGTATATATATGTGTGTGTGTGTGTGTGTGTGTGTGTGTGTTTAAATCATAGCCCAGAGTTTATTCAGTTGGCATGGATAAATATGTTCACGTCGCCATTATGAAAAATTGTATAAATATTTATTTAAATATTAGCGATTAGTACGATAGACATAGCTCCGCAGTGTATGTGTGTGTGTATGTATATATATATATATACTGT